CCAATATACAACTTATTCTACTACTGAGTAGAATTCTGCATCTATAAAACTACGGTCTGAGTAATCTTCTTGTGATTCTAAGAAAATTAAATTGATTGAACCATATCCCAAGAAATATTTTTTAGCAGAACCACGGTGTTTAAATAATGCTGCGATGAGTATGAAATAATCTGTTCTACTCTCCAGCAGCCTCAGCAGGGAAAAAAATTGAAGTGTAACAGATATTCACAAAGACACAGAAAATCAGTCGGCATTCTATATTTTATTCTAAATATATGTTTTTTTTTGAAAAGCCAATTAGAAGAGTTCGTTTTGTTTGAAAATTGGACTATTGAGAAAAGACAATTCCAGAGGAAGCAGCATTGTTACTTAGAACCTGATCAAACAAAGTAAGATCATCATCTCATCAGAGAACCACACCTCTGACAACAACAGTGCATTACAGGTGATATTTTCTAAGCTACATGGATGTGTAGACATGGAGATAAATGTCTTGCAGCATTTTCAAAAGCAAACAAATATGTTAAGCACAGTTAGGCTGTGAAGAAATTGTTTTCATTTAAAAAAACACTGACATTTTCCCCAATTTTTCTTCTGAAACTGTGCAGAGACACTTTTATTACATTATGAGGTTTTATTTAGCAAGCTTTTTTGTTTTTGCAAATAATTCTGATTTGAAAATAAATAAAATAAACAACATCCCCAAAGGTTAAGGAAACCTTTATTTCAGTCTCTAAGTCAGATACTCTGTTGTGCATCTATAGGTGCTGCTGTGTCCTCTACCTATAATGTTAATATGGCAGATAAGATTTTTTATTTCTATTTTAATGCATAAGTTAATTTTGTGATCTGATTTGTGATCTAATTATTGCAAAATATGACTAAATTATATTTTTATGACATGAATGGCAAGCTAAAAATGCTATAAAAACACAGTTAGAAATACCCAGTTTCTAGAGACTTGAACAATTATTTTTTTAATGTTGTAAACCACTTTGTAGGTATTGAGCATAAATACAAATACATTTCTTTTAAATTACATAAATCATGGAGAGAATGTATACATTACAAAAACAAACTATGTTAAATATTTGCATTTAGATGGTAGTACCTTGTAAATCTTTAGAAAATACATGCCAGTATCATAGTAAATTCCTAGAAAGAAAAAGGAAAAGAAGAAAAAAGGACATTGCATCTTCCCCCAAGATGATAAAAAGATGCTTTTTTTCTCGTAGTAGTAAAATGAGACACTCCTGAGAAATATAGCTGTTCCTTTTTTTTGGCATTTTTTCAATAATTAGGAAGACAGAGGAAACAGTTGTTCAGTGAAGAAAAATGATAACTCATGTTTCAAACACTAGGAAGAGGAGAGAAGAGAGATAGAGGTTCCCTATTGTGTTATCCCACAATATGTGGCGATCCAAGAGGCAGGAGAATCACTTGAGATGTGGGTGCACCTTTGTGATCCTTATTCCTCAGTTTTAATCTGAGGACTTGAAAATGGCTCTCCCACATATACTGCAATTTCTGGGTTTGACCATGCATCGCATGATGAGTCTGAAAAAGCCTTTCCCGAGGAAAGTTACTCAAAAATCGTATGTCTGCATGAAAGTGTCAGTTTTGAGAAAAAAGCCGTGTTTTGGCCAGCTTAGTCATGGCTTATCATGTAAAATTACATGTGTGCTTCAACAGAATGACCATATATCACAAATATATTCCCTTAACGTAAATGTTAACAGTGAAGAATCTTTTCATGTCTGCATGTTTTCATATCCAGACCCATACTTTCTTAAACTGCCACATCAAAAAATTAGTGTAAAAC